ATTATTCTTGATTGTTGTATTATAAGTAATGTTACTATATTCATTGTATTGTAATGTATTGTATCAATTATATCGTATTTATTGTCTTTGCACCATTGTTATATCCTTATTAATCCTTATTTTTTTACGTGAATGCGTGGAATCCTCAGGTTCGGCACAGGCAAACCACCGACTCAAACGATCAAACGTAGGAAGGACAGGAGTCCAAATGGGTACAGGGTTGATTTTCTTAACCACACCAGGTCGTTGACCAGTTCTTCGCATCGACCGAAAAAGCGCCTCGATAAAGGCTCGAAGCTCTTGCATCTCTTCCTGAGCCACGTGGAACCAGAGCCGACGACCAGAAGGTCTCCGGTCCTGCACCCGAGTTGGGAGCCTCTGCTCGCCGGTCCCGTCAAAAGACCCAGTCTTGCAGGGACAACTGTTCAAATGGCCAGGATTCTTCGGGACGAAGGAGTAACCGTTGATGAAACGTGATGAAAAAGCGTGAGGACCACTGAGCAGCTCGGAATCCAGCGTTCAGCATGCTAGCTGGAGCTCCCGACGTTCCAGTCGTAGCTTTTTGAGGGATGACTGGACCCTCCAAAGCATGATCTGCTTTGTCCTGTGTGCCAGGTGGTTTGGACCTTGCTTTGCTGGTCTCCACCTATTCATCCCACTCGAAAACCACCGAGTACCAGGTCTCTTCCCGTCATCGCCATGCACAATGACCAGTCAATTGATAAGAACCGGTATGAGCGCCCCCCCGTGTCCCACACACACTCCATGTATGGTATATACCCCACTCCCAGTCCCCGTTCGAAAGCGTCTTCACGTTCACTAGACAGCCTGAAGGTCATGCTACCCCCCACGGAAAAATCGCTCGCGTCCAGAAGAGCGACCATTTATGTTGAGTCTTCACACCCCTCCTTTTTTCTGGGAGTTTTTCAGTCAGCTCCAAGTCAATGAAGTAGGCGCCTACTTAATTAAGGAAGGGAGTAAGCTAGTAGGTACTTAAGCTAGTACATATATGGACGCAGGACAGCTCACAATTCAACGAAGCTCCCCTCACCTGAGGGGGAGCTTCCTTGAAGAAGCGCTCGCACTGATGATTTGATTCCTAGATTTTAGGGAAACTAAACAGATCTTTTGAAGATTGGACACTACTTGGACACATCTTCACCGGTGGAACAACCGTCGAACACGCGATGTGCATCCCCAAACCCACCGCCCACGTTCGCCACGGGGCATGCAGCACGTGTTCGTGCTCCTCGCCCATGTTCATTGCCACGGGCGAGGGACTCTGAAGGAGGGAAGCAGCTGAAAGCCCAAGCATTCAGAGAATCAACCACAAAACCTCTCTGTCCAAAAATCCATCCAAACGCGACCCTGCACTCTCCTACCTAGGGCTTCTAGGGGCCGCACCCCTCAAACCAATCCCTAAGTTTTGAGGGAGCGGGAACGGGCTGTGAACGGAGCGTTTGGGCCACCATGATGGATGCCTCACATCCCCTCTGTGCCCCACGTCTCGCGGCGTCTCGCCGCGTCTCGCCCGTCGGACGTTGGTCGTCGGAGGATCGAAGCGAGAATCCGATGGATGCGGGGGTGCGGAACAGACTCTCAGCCGCCCCAAAGCCGGAATCTGTTCACCTCTGCAGAGCCTTTTCACAGTGGCTTTGACTGCTGATGGGGGACGGCAGCTCCCAGGCTGCTGCCCAGCTCGAGTGGAGCTCAGAGTCGACGACAAGACTAGCCACCAAAAGCGACCTCCTACGCGGTCCTGGACCCGAAACCTCATGGAACTGCCTGAATCGGTGTCTGAAAACGTCTCCGAGGGAAGGATGGGCGAAACCGGGCCCACCCAAAAATCATCATCTCAGTGCGTTGTTTCGGGGCGGTTTGGTCCGAAACGTTGACTCTGACTCACTCACGATTGACGTTAATCCCGGAGTCTCCAGCTGTCTTGCCCGTCTTGCCCCCAAAGGAGGCTAAGCCTACGATGAAGTTATGATGCTCATCACTTGCCACTTCCTCATGAATCCACAGCAGGTCATCAAGAGATATCAAGAGTTGAATGCTTGTCTTTTCCACCAGGACCTGGACTAAATGATGACTCACATCCTCCTGGAACCCCAGTCCCCACCAGAAACAAACGGTTGCTCCGGCAAAGACATATCGATCCTTTACAATAGGAAATGGCTCGGACGACAGGGACACAGGCCGTCTGGCCACATCCATGCCACTTGACCTCAGATGGTCCATCCGGACTGGCCGGTCGGCCACCAACGTGGCGGTGGCCACACGAAGGTGGCATGGCCCTTCCGGCTCATCCGTCTGTTGACCGCAAGAGGTCGAGCCGTTGGGGGTCATGCCGCTGATTCTCGATGGGCAACCGCTGCAGACGCAAACGCAAACACAAACGACGCTGGAGACTCCTCTGGCAGCCACGACCAGGACCGGCCGGGAGCTCGGGAAGAACACAGGCATCATGGTGCGAGAAGCGAGCCTCACGCGTGAAGCTCGTGTGCTTATACTGCCTGGATGCTTCTATGCGGGGCAAAAGAGCACTTGAAGGGAGTACTACATGCTGTCCCAGGACATGTTCATCCGAACACTGAAGATTCTTTGAGCAAGAGGGGCCAAAATGGCTGACGATGGAACTGATGATGGAAGGTGGGAAACACACATCGTTTTCATGAGGAAATAACTCTGAGCCCGGTTTCAGACTGTCCCCGGAGAAGTTCAGCCGGAAACTCGTGTGACCAAAAGGGGTCTTCTTTCACACGCTTCACGATGGGTAGAGACACCATGAGACACCTGGAGTCGACTCCAGATTCAGGAAGGGGGGTCTCTTCTGCCTTTCCGAGTTGGTTGCTATCTGGTTGCTATCCGGGATGTCTTCTTTCAGAGGATGGCGACAAACTCCCCAACTTTCCCCAGCTCCAGCCCCTCGCGGCTTTAAAACGATCCTTCGCGCCGATGCGCCGAGATCGTGGCGCCATCTGTCCGCGGCGCCCCGCCCCGAGCCGAGCCCCAAGCCGGATCTAAGAGCGATGGCCTCGAGGGTAATTATATCTCTTCCAGACATGTCTTCCAGGAATGTGTTTCAAAAGCTCGGAGGAGGTTTGGGGGGAGTCACCAATCACCCCAAAACACCCTTGGCCAGGTGATCCACTGGGGTCGGCATGAATGAAACGGCCCAGTCGACCGAACAAACCGAAGGAAGGGCGGGTTTGCTGAACGCCAAGGAAGGGCGCTGTTGGTCTCTCTCTCTCTCGAATTCATGTCGACTTTTCAGTCTCCGGTCGGACAGACCCAGAACGCCTGATCTGGGTGACCCCGATCGAGCGACATCGGCTTCGACGCGCGGGGGCGGTTTCTGCGCCCGCGAGCGACATCGACTTCTTCCAGCTCTGTCTTCGACAGAACTAGAACGCACCGGGAGCCGAACCACACGGCCCCACGGGCTGTGTAGGCAAAGGAGGAGGAACAGGGATTTTGATCTTGGAATCTTCTGGGTCTTTCTTCGCAGGTTCGTCGTTCGCTTTGGTTGTGGAGAGGAAGAGACTTGTCTGAGATTGCTTGAGACTCACTGAGAAAACCCAAAAGGATGAACATTCAATGCATGTTGCTGAAAGATCCTGTTTTTCTTGTGCAGGATTTCTGGACCCAGAACTAGCTCGACATGTGTTTTTCGTGGCAGCATTCTTTACCAAAGTCCTCATAAAATCTCCACCAGATTGCATGTTAATAGCATCTATAATTATAGCATATTGAACGGTTGTAGAAGAACCTGATATGAACCTGATACACATGATTGGTTGCCTAAACCCATGACGTGTTAACTGCATCTCGCGTTTTCCCAACTTTCACCTCACTCTTCATCTGCCTCCTCTCCGATTTGGGCCTTTGCCCCAAAACCGGAGGATCCCACCGTGCCACCTGTGCAACTTCTCTTCACACCTGTTCGACGCCACCTGAGCGAACGGCGCAGGCATCACGAATATTATATTCCTAGTAGCGATGGCCTCCAACCTACTAGCTTCTTGCTACTACTAAGAAGCTAGTGTCTGCGGGTCATGGCACCCACAAAAAAACCTGATTGACTCATGAAGTTGCGAACGCTTCTCTTTTTTGCACGAGATGTCAACCTTCCCATGCTTTAGTGAAGGTGAGGTTTTGACCCACACCCAGAGATAGGTCATCGCACCAAAGGAGTCCGACCAGTCTACCTTGTGGACCGCGAGTGGTCTCCAGTCCACCTGGGGCCGCCCTTTCGACCGGTACCTGTGCCATGACCGATCGATCTGAGTCGGCGTGGTGGCATCGATTCTGTCTTCCTTTCGACCTCCAATGCCCTTTCGACCACTTGTTAGTTAGTAGTTTTCTTGTTACATTCGTAGCGTCCGAACGCTCCGTTTGTCGTACGGCCAGGAGCCCCGAACGTAGTAGCGTCCTAGCGATGCCGGACAACGAGGTAGCGTCCTTTTGTTCATCTCAAGAGACGATCTGCATCCTTTGGACCGAACCGAGGGATCATTCTCACTTGGTTGGGAGAGTCGAAGAGACGCATCTTTCAGTGACCACCCACAGCTCGATTCCTTCTAACGAAGCACCTGAAAATAAAGCATGCTACGCTCAAGGAGCTCGGGGGTAGCAACCCTGGAACTCAGCAGCTCGGGCTTCTTTTTGACACTTAAAACCGGGTTCACATGACTTCAGATGTGAAGCTGGAGATTCTGAGACAGGCGAAGGTGGTTTACCACGCTCCCTCTTTTTAGCGTTCAGCAAGAATGGCCCTGAACAATTTCCTGAAAAAAACCACACTTGTGACGGACAAATCTGGTCGCCTGGCTGCTTGTGCCTTTGAGGCAGTTGAACGGTGGCGCCAGAGTCCAACGGGATTGCGATGTGTGTTCATTTCAATTGATGAAACGTCGAATCTCTAGAATCTAAGTTATCTCAGAAGTTGATCAAGTACTTCAGCGCTTGATCCTCAAGTCAAGCCTTCCAACTAACTCTCAACTCAACATCAATTCACTGCCAAGATCAGCATCCTTCTTGCGCCATGGCCAACAACAGCTCGCGAACGATGGATGCACTTGGGCTCTGGCAGCCTGCAACTGCGAAGCCCATTGGTAACAAGCGATGCTCGGCAGCAGGATGGCCATAGACACCCAAATGAGATGTGAATAGCCTCTCCTGGCGCATGAGATTGGCCAGGTATGTCATGATCAAACATGATCAAACCTTACAGAATGACCCTATACAGTACCATATGGCCTCTGTGACCATCTCTAATTCTTTGAAGCCGTGCTTCTGCATCTGAGTCCTTTTGATGGATTCGCCACCCCAAAAGCACCAAAAACACCAAACCTAAAACCGATCGCATTGGCCCAACCGATCTGGGGGTGTCAAATGGTCCACACCGGTCGGTCGTCGGGTGGATCGACGTGATGTGGAACGACGGACGGACTCGGATCGGGTTGACCCGCCTAGGCAATAAAGGCCAATCCACGTACTCGAAGAGCACGGTGGAGACCGGAAAAATGGCCTTGAGTGCCACGAAGGTGGCTAAGGCACCTGCATGCTTCACAGCCAACAGGATGCCCATGTTCATCCTCAACGGCAGCGGGCAGAGCAGGGTGGATTGGTCGAGTCGAGCCGAGCACGTCGTGATGACAGCCAAGATGTGATGTTTTCAGGGCCGAAGCGAAACGCGAAGCGAAGCGAAACTCGTCAGGTCGGATCTTCTTCTTCCCTAAACAAAGAAAAAGCCGTGCTTACACGGAACACCATGCGGGTCGAAAGAGGCTTCATTTCAATGAAAGCTTCAGCAGGTTGAAGACCACGTAGACCAGAAGACACCTTCCGGCCAGCTCTCCATGGCTTGAATCGGGACCGCAACTCGCAGCATCTCCACTGAAGACCTCAGGTTGGTCGGAAGGAAGACCAAACGAACACATTCAGACGATGCCTCTTTACATGTCACAAAATGAATCTTGCACGTCTCAAACACAACTCAATTGCTGCCGTTCTTTTGCATGATAAAAGATATGCATCCAACACGCATTGGAAGCCTCCAACAAAAATGATAAAGCAACTCGATCAGCAAATTTTGCCAGGGCACACACCTCATTGCCTCCTGCAAATAGTGGAAGAGATTCCCCTCGCTTGTCTGCTTCAGCATGACATTCAGTGGGATCAACAGGAGAGTCAATGGGAGCTGGAAGATCGCTTCATGCGAATTGATCAGAAACCTGATGGCTCAAAGGGGCTGATTGCTTGGTAACCTGTTTCACATCATCATCCTAAGACATGCCCATCTTCCACAGCCCTAGTCAGTTCTCTAGTTCTTGAACACCTCACCCCTCTGAAATTGGCTCAAGCAGCATGTTCAGGGACGCACCGCCCTCCAGGTGGTTCTCGCTCGCTCTCCAAGTCTTGTAACGCGTAAAAATCAACTCCTTCACCACAAACGCGAAGGCATTGAAGACGCAGCTCCCACCTGCCGGACCGTTTGGCTCTGACGGTCCAGTCGGAGATAGCTTCTGGGTCTGGTCGGTTTCAGGGCGCCTGGGGTGTTCTCGGCTGCAGTGCCGAGTTCCCAGAACACGGCGTTTGAACCGAAAGGATCTACCCAAACGCGAGACGCGGACCGGGGCCGGTTCCCCGGTCTTCCGAAGCGTATTTCGGGGTCCGGACCGGTTTGGAGGGATCGGGGCAGCACTGTGAATGGAGCGTCTGGGTAAAGAAGGTGAGTGACACAAGTTCCTGACCCTGTAGAACTGGCGGAACTTGATTCATTTACCCGTTGGGCTTCCGGTTGTTCACCATTGCTTTACTAAGCCTAGGATTTTACACTATACACAACACAACTAGGTCTGTCCCAGTCTTTGTAAGGGTCGAACGGAAGCCGAACGGGTCAAGAACGACGACTTCCGGTCAACCCAGCGACCTGCTCTCGGTCCGAATTCTGAGACCTTCCGCGAAGTGCGACTGCTCTCGGCGAGGGCAGATGTTCGGTTTGCCGCTTTCTGAGGCTCAGATCCCGAAGCTCCCGTAGGTTTGGATTCTCAGATGTTCCTTTCAACAGGTTTTGGATCCCGAACCTCCTGTGCTCGAGACCGAGACCCGTTCGTTTAGTAGGTCTACCAGACAGCCAGGGGTGACCAGCCTAGCACCACTGCGAAGAAGGGGTTGGACCCCGTGGCGTCTGACTCGAAGGAGGGCAGAATTCCGATGACCACGGCGAAGAAGACGCCCAGCAGCGAAGTCACTTGGAAGAAGGAATACCTCTCAAAGGGCGGTGGCGAAACCCGACATGTGTGGAGATTTTTTGGGGTGCAACATGTTTGGAGGTGGTTGTTTTGGTACCAGGACCCTCCGACCATCGGGGTGTTCCAGGATGAACCGGTGCTTTTGGGACAAATCACCTCTTTAGGAGGCTATTTGTAGGAGCCTTCTTGGAGGGTCCTGGTGAGGTTGTGAAGGGACCTTCAGAACGAACACACGACCATTGACACATCTTGACCCTGGTTTTGCGTGATACTGCTCTGTGGTTTTGGGGTGGCCACTTCCTTAGGTCACTTCGAACTGCATCTCAAACACACCACTGCGATCCCGTCTGATTGACCCGCAGGTGGTCCCCTTTTCCAGGCTGGGTGATGAACATCTACCAGACCCAACAATTGTCATGACCATCTAAGATGGTGCATCAACGAAGATGGACACATGCACCAGCAAGAGTCTGAGCGCACCAGCGCTGCTACGTACGTACTGTCATCACGAACCTACGTACTGTCATGACGGAGATGATACCCACCAATCCACGCTTTGCTTCATGAATTGCCCTGCAGGCAGGTTTCTTTCGCTCCGAAACTCTTGCCCACCAAGAGACCTCTGATGGAGCATGCACATGGAGAGCAGCGCCACGAAGATGGATGAGCAGTTGGACACCAGGCTGTGCAAGGGTCCAGAAACATGACTGGTACAAATCGCCCCAATTACATCGCCCAGGGCATCTCCGAAGGCTGCCAAGACGATCAAGAGCGCGGGTGGGAGGTGACCATTGGGCTGCCACATGTACTTCAGCTGGAACCTCAGAGCATAACGAAGTGTTGGGAAATTTCATGTCATTTCATGTCAAGCGGCAATATGCTACTAGCGATGGCCTGCAACCAAATAGCGATGGCCTCCACCCTAATAGCATGGCCGATGGCCTCCACACTAGCACCGAAGAAGTTCTTACTTCTTCACAACTGGTGCCTTGGAGGGTGGCAAAAAAGAGGGCGGTATAGATGTTGAAGGAAGACATCGGGGGCACAGAAGTTGAAGCTTCCACCAATCGACACAAGCCACAAAGCGCTCTCTTCCGTGAACGGCGTTCGGCCAAGAGACCAAGGTGCAGCGCCGGTCTTCAAAAGCGTCAAGAGGATGGCCCAAAAGAGGGGCACGTAGCCCACGGCCGTCCAGAAGCCCAACATGTAGACGTAACGCTTGGACAGGGAGACAGAGGCCACCTGCTTGGAGATATCATTCCCACAGCCAAGCAGAACCACGATGATCAACAACAAACCTGACAGGCACAGGAGGAAGTACATCTGCAGTTCAGATGGACCGCCATTGGGGTAAATCATCCGCAAGCGATCTTCGCAAAGAACAGCTCAGACATCTATTTCCAAAGGCCATCCCAGCCCCAGTTTTTTCATCCGTTCCACCTATCCGTCTCCCTCAACGAATGCAAACACGCCTTGCGAGGCTGAGAGCAACGAGGCGTGGCGGCCGCGGTGACCTTCGGCGCCTTCCATTTCCAGTCCGCTCCGTTCCATCCGTCGGGTCAGACACGCCCCCGCGCCCGTGGAGCGTTGCTGCGGCGCAGCAAGGTGGGTGGAGCGACTGCGGCGCTGCTGCGTGGGTGTTGAGAAGGGACCAAAAGAACTTTTCAGGTAACGGTGAGGAATTCTTACAGAATCTCACAGATGGTGTATCCCCAAAGATGTGTGAGACTGGACGACCTAATTAGATATCAATGTGCAGGTCTAATATAGACTCAATGGGTATATGACGGATCTATGTCTATGGGACAGTATGACTCTTGAACCACTGGATTTTCATTATAAGGCATATGGTGCATTATTGTACCATTCCTACAGGTCCAGTCTGACCCCGTAAAACTGGTCCTGAACACCTTATCGAGTAGTGCTTTTGTACGATCAACTTCAGGAAAATGAGTTGCAACTGGCCTGTAGGGAATATTCATGGATTTTGTATGCACTCTCTGTTTGATGCTTCGTGCAGGCTGTAATGCTGCAGATCAGAGCCAACGCTAGCCAACGCTAGCCAACGCTGCAGATCAGATTCGTCTGAGGACCAGTTCCAAGATGGACTGCCACACTTAACTGACCGGCACTTCGTGCGGTTACCTGGATCCATATCTGCCGGACGGGGAGGCCGATGTCCGTCGCTGCTCGTGCGCGCCCAAACGGCTGCTGAGCAGGAGATCCCTGGCACAGTGAAATCACAAAGCTCACCCTCGGTGTCTTGTCACCAAGTGGACGCTCCACACACCACACCAGCCGCGCACCACCAGCCGGAACGCCCCCACCTTGCCGCCGCGCTGAGCCTGCGGGGTGACACGCGAAGTTGGACCCAGGAGGCGACGTGCGCAGTTGAGACGAGGAAGAAATTGATGGTCACGTTTCAACCACAGACAACCCATTAGGAATACCATATAGGTCACGATAGTCCAATTGTGGCTACAATTAGGAATGCAATACAATACAATATGTGATCTTCCTATAGGTCACGATGATCCTTTCCAATGATCCTTTCAATATAGGAAGACCCATTAGGAATACAATAGACTCACCCCACACGGACCATCCAGGCACTTCGGTTTGAGCGGTTTCAGGAGTCGAATTCGTGTGTCCGATTCGTTTTGTTCTGTAGATACTTAGAGTGGGAATTGCCTGGGATGCACTGGAATAGACTCATGGAACATGACTCTATTACAAACAAAGGGAGCTCCATGAGTCCATGACCCAATGGAGAAGGTTGAGAAGGCAGTTTTCCTGACATGCTTCTGGCAAGGGGAAGCTGAGTAGCAAAAAGCAGGAGCGACATCCCGCAACATCCAGCTTTTGCAAGAGGTTAATTGATTTCCCAGAGCCACACTCACCTATTTTCCATCCAACCGCACCGATTAAATGGGCTAGCTTGCTAACACACCGGTTGAGCTCAAAACCATCCTCGGATGCCGTCACTTCGAGATGCATCATGCTTCTGCCATTTAGGACAGCTCAGTCCTATGCCACAGAAATCACTGAAGGTCCTTGTGAGGACATCAAATCAAAAAAGCCATCTCGAAAAAAGACGCTTCAACCACCCAGGAGTCATCAGAGCCTCCCGGGGTGCCCAACCGAAACTCGGATTCATCTCCACGGCACCATGGGACCCATCCCACCCACCCACGAGCTCTGTGACCCTCATCCCAACCGAAGCACCGCAGCGCCCAACCGGTCGAAGCACGGTCGATCGCTTCCCGAAAATGGAAGACCGTTGGAGTCGGAGCAGTCCGCACCATCACCCTGATGGTAGTACTATATAGGTTCCTTTTTTTGAGGTCCAGATGGGCCAGATGTGTTTGCACCACCCTGCCTGTGCGACATTTTGGTACAACTTTACTCTTTGTCACCTTCTTTCACAGCAACATTGGCGGAACACATGAACCACGAAGGAACCATGTTTTAGCAGAAGAGCAAACCACCGTAGTACCGCCTTATACATCCTTCTATGCTGCCTGACCATGGGCGGCAGTCCACCTGACCGGCAGATTTCTGGCAACCAAAAACTATATCTGGGCACATTCAGCATCATTCAGCCATAACCAATACACGACTAGTCAGGGACTGCCAGTCCGGACTGCCTTCAAAACGGCCAGGGGTGGTTGACTGGGGGTCGGTCTGGGGTGGCATCGCCCTGGCAGTCCCTGGTCGTGTCTGGGTAATTAGGTCCACCACGGCCGAAGAACGGAATCGAAGCCACAGAGACGACTGAAGCAGACTGCTTCGCCATCTGTCGGACTGGACTGGACCTGCTTTGGTCTCTACTGGTCTCCACTGGCCCCCCAGCTCTCATCTCTCAAAGCGATGCCTGGCCTCATGTCTTCAGCTGAGAGGAGCGTGTCGACGTCTCACGAGAGGTCTTTGGTGCTCCGCGAGGAGCCACGGCAATCCAGCTCCAAATCAAAGTACTTCATAATCACAGTCACCTCGGCACTGAGGAAACCAATGTAGAAAGGCTTGTAACATCTCTTCGTATGGGGGACTCTATGCATCCAGAGTCTACAACTACCCAAGGTCATTCACAAGGTCCCACCTGGCGGTCGCCGCCTGGCTCAGTAGTGGAAGCCGAGGTGATCACAGCCACAGAATTAGGACCCCCTTGGCTTGATTTAATACTTTAGAATAATGAAAGGGACAAGGGTTCGGGTATATCAAGGTATAATAACCACCACAATCTACGAAGTGGGAGGTTTTCAGCAATGTACCCGATAATATATACAACCCTTAGGGGTGTTGACACACGACGAGGGACTCCGGAGGGCTTGGTCCCCGTGGTGGGCAAAGAGATGCCGGCGTGCGAGCGAAGTGAGCTCGGTACGGCAAACGACGAGAGCACGAAAGCGAACCTGGTGAGCCATTCGATCACCAAAACTGAGGCCATACTGCTCAGGACCTTGTTTTCACATGTTTGAGGTACATATCAGTTTTTCGAGGCCAAATGGCATTTTCACGTTTTTCACGGCTCCGCTGGCCGCAGTGGAAATAGAAGCAACACTTGGAAAAAGAACAGAAGTCAACTTCATCAGCAATGTGTACATAAGACACACATGGGGCAGGAACATGGGCCTTAACCGTGCTTAAACTGCAAACTGTCTTCGGACAAGTTGAGCACAGACCATTTAAGCAAAACGTATGCTCTTACATCGAGTGACACACGTAACACAGGACCTTAGAAAGGCACAAACTCTACAAATTCTACCCTTTTCTATTTTCACGCCCCCGTGGCCCCCCAAATGGCTCCCCAGGAATGCACAGCAGTGGTCGAAAACGATCGACGTGCGCGAGCTGAAAGGCGCAGCGGCGTGCTCTTTCTTGAAGAGAGTCAGTTCTGATTCCGGCATTACCAACTTTTGCTGTACCTTTTCTTTTTCCTCTTTCGATGGTATGCCGCTCAGACTGACCGATTGACTTGACCCAAAAGTATGTCAGTGTGACATGGTCTTGAACTGTACATGTTGTCCATGTGACACGACAAGTTAGGGGTTACATCTGCGTGTAAACTCTCGACTCCCTCCTCACCGTTTTGGCGTGCCACAGGACACTATGTACATGCATTCATTACCGCGCTTGGAGCAGCGGCTTTGGAATCTACTTGGGACCCTAACGAAAAGCTTCGGTCCCTAGTGGACGGCTTAGGCTCTTGGATGTCTGTTCGAATGCCTAGGAGGTAGAAAGCCTTGTGCCACTTCTGCGGTGGTAGAGCTTTTGTGAACACATCTGCAGCCTGTTCGTTAGTATCTATATTGAATAGTTTTGCATGGATCGTCAAGACATTCCTTTAGTGAGGATAAGTTAATCTTATGCTTGGGAGAATAGCCCTTGTGCGCAACAATTATTGTAGCCTGGCTAGCATGTTTCGCGCTCCCCAGTGGCACGGCGCCACGCAAACACACTTCCCACCAAGGCCGCGCAAATCCCAATGGCACTGCAACATCACGAACGTAATTTCGCCACACGGTCTGCCCATACACCAGAAGCAAGCATATCACATGATACCACAAATCATCCCGCTCACCAGCGACACGCCGCGCTCCACAGTGGCATGGCGCCATGCAAACGCACTTTCCATCAAGGCCGCGCAAATCGCAATGGCACTACGACATCACGACAGTAATTTCGCCACACGGTCTGTCCATACACTAGAAGCGTTTCGTCGGAGCACGCACACATCACGCAGCCCTGCCAAGCAGTTTCGCGCTTCCAGCCCCTCCAAACAACACCCGCGCGCACGCCAATCCCAATGTCACAGCGACATTCACCTCTACCGCAACTCACAACAGGTAGCCTCACAATTCCCTGCGCCTGCCACGAATCTTTCCGCGTCCCCATGTCTAACGCGCACAAAGTACTGTGCCTGCCACGAAATGTCACCTCCGTCACACCTCGCAAGCAACCTCACGATTCCCTGCGCCTGCCACGAAATTCGCACTTCCGCACCTCAAAACCCGCACAAAGTACTGCGCCTGCCACGAAAAGTGACAATATCATGTCATGTGAGCTTCAACAGAACTTGCACCACACCACACGTTTGGAATGATTTCGACCCGTCCTGAGCACACTCCCATCCACCAAAATCGCCATTTCAGCTGAGACTTGTCACGAAAACAGAGCTTCGCTGCGATATCCTGAAACGGAAATCCTAATGTCACGGCCACACCCAACACTCCAAAAACATGACTCTCCAAACGCTAATCCCAATGGAACTGCGCAGAAAAACTGCGGATCTCACAAAACGCTGTGCCTGCGCAGTGAACCCAACCTCCATAATTCAACATCTTACGTTTCCACGCTGTTTCACACGCATCTGACACATCACGTTTTCATCCGAAACCCTCTCCAAAAGCTTCCCCCAATGGCAGCGCCTTAGCGCCCTACTGCGAACGGTTGCGGACGCAGAAACAACACGTCGCGAACAAGGCTCTACCCCCAGACCCCCAGAGTTAAACGAGAACCCTTCGCTACGCATTCGGGAAAAATGGGAAACTCGAGTTCGGCATCGCTCATGACGACAACCTCTCCCTTTTTTGTGGCAGAAAGGGCGACGTTTCCATCCCCCCTTTCTGTTGCTTTCCGACCGGTGTGAGCGAACAGACGCCGGAAGGCTCTGAGAGCCCGGGCGCAAGCGTTGAGGCGCTTGATCTCTTGCCGGGTCACCTGGTCGCCGTCCAGAGGAGTAGTCGGTCGACCCATCGCCCGAGACCGCGAGGATCGGAAGACTCTGATGGTGTGATCGGCCAAACCAGCCATGTCCAAAGCGTGGAAACCAGTCCAGTCCAGTGGCTTGGGGGAAACCAGTCCAGTGGTTTGGACATCACCATGAAAACTGGAACTCGCCATGTCCAAAGACTCAGTGGGGGTCTAAGTGTCTGTGTGTGTGTGTTCTCCAACTGAGTTCAGCCCATCCAGGTGAGTCCAGGTTGCGGCAGCTCGCGCGACCAATTCAGCACATCACCTGCAGCCAGCCTCCAACATTCAGCACATCCACCCTCCCAGCGATGCCCATGAGCTTTCGGACGCCAACAATGACTTGATCAACTGCCCACCTCCTGCCCTAGAAACAGCTGACTGGCCATGTAAACAGCCCCGCTTCCGGAACTTCCTTTCCAAGTGGCCAAAAGGAAACAACAACAAACACACGAACAAACAGAACAAACAGAACAAACTGTTCTCTCCTGAGCTTCTTGCTCCGACTGTTTGTTCCATCCATCTGGCCTTGTTCTCGTAGCTCATCTTGGCCATTTGCAAGCTCTTCGCCGGGCCGTGCAGCTGCATGCACCCCGAGACGAACCTCGACCGAGGGGCCTCTCGATGGTCGACACCGACACCGACGACCGGGTGGAGTTTGATGGTCTCTCGACCGGGTGTGGAGAGGGCCTCCAACCGAAAAGTATCGAAACATCACTACCCTTTCCTGAGGGGGTACCCTAAAATGTAACTTACTTTTTGGAGGTCCCCCCTCCCGGCAGTAGCTTAAGAGGGTAGGGGTATCGAAACAGACTATCTTTAACGAACAGACTTTAGATTCAGTCTTCTATGAGAACTTGAGGAACTTCGCTAAACCTTACAGAAAAAACTTGAAGGAACCGAATAGCGATGGCTTCCAACCTAGAAGCGATGGCTTCCCTGTTGGAGGGTGCAGGTACATGCCAATTTGGAACTGTTTCTGCGTTGCAATCGATCAATCGCCGAGTCCAGCCACACATAGATCCCAACGAGTCAAAGCCAAGACGTACCACCCAATCCAAACCTCTTCAGGGACTGGAGTTCTCACGTAGACTCTTGAATATTTACACCCCCTCCCGATATGAATCCCCGTCCCAACAAGAAAGAAATGGATGTTTCCCCAGGCCCAGTCATTTCCTAAAGCCATTTCCTGAAGGATCTCTGTCTTGTCATCTTGGAACAACCGTTTGATGTCCGATGGTTTTAGTTCCCATGAGGTTTTTACAATCGACCCACGCGAGTCCAGGGGACAACTGGACAGGAATGGCTGGTTCCGGGTGAAGAGGCTTTACAATCTAAATGGCAGCGCGTTTGGTGACTCAATGTCTCTTTTTGACCCCCAAATAGATAGAAAAGAAGATCCCCAATAAACAATGTCTTGGAACCCGTGTCACCATCCATTTGGGGAGTCACTCTCATCAAACGTGAACCCTTCCGGTTGCCCTTGGCCCTTGCTCCAAGTTGCTCATCCAACGTAATCTCCCCACTTTCCTCATCGCCCCGCGCAGCAAAAACGCCCACGTCGCGCCATTCTTCCAAGTCGAGTCTGGGGGGAAGACTTCTCACCATTCCGGTGGGGAGAACAGGTCCCGGTTTTGGTTAACCACCAGACCCGGTCGGCTTAGAACGCATGGATCCCCCGGTGGAATGGCCTTTTGTCCTCGAGAGACGAAAGGAACAAAGGCAACACGTGTCCACGCTCCACTTGAAGTACCTAAACTGTTATAAAAAGGGAGTGGAGCTTCACCAGGTGGCATCGTTGCTTCGGAACCAGCTGAGACACGGGAAGATGACTCCGACGTCACACACGAACCACCGCCGGAGTCGGGCGGACCGCGGAGGCGGAGGCTTCGAGGAGCGGACCGCGGAGGCGAACCGCGAAGTGAGTGAGTCTCCACCCGGACCGAGTGGGACACTCCCCTGGTATCCTGGAAAATTCAAGCATGTGACACTCAGGTTCCATGGAAGTGGAGTGAGTATAGTGAGTGAGTGAAAACCAGCTGTTTGGTATGAGGATTGAACATGGTCTTCCCCGTGGCCATTGTCCATGTTAGTGAATCGGTGTGTAAAGCTTATTCCACTTTATGGGTAGGCACAAAAGTTCAGTGTTCACAGCGAGGATACACAGATCAACCTGAAGAATTGAAGTGTGTTAAACAGCTCCCCGGCCTTCTCAGCTTCTCTCGGTTTGTATCTTTTTTGGAGCGAAGGTCAGCAACAAACCGCCGAAGCGGCAACAAACCGCCTTCGGCTCCCCATGCCACTGTGCACAAAAAGCAGCAAAAAGAAGTCTGAACATCTTACAACCCCGACAGGTGCGAATCAGGTCATCTTTCCTGGTTTTTCCTCCATCCCGGACGCGATGCCACCCTGGACCCTGCGTTCCGGAACGGGGTCGGACCCTCCGTTCAGAAAGTAGGGTCCGGACCCGAGCCAATTCCCTATATGGTTTTGAGGGACCGGGACAGGGCGGTTTTCACTCACGGTTTGCGAGTTCTGTTGAACATCGTTTCTGTTGAAAACTCCCAGCGTCATCTTGATCGATGATCATGAAGAGCGTCCAAACATCCTGCCCGTCAGCAGACGAAACCGGATGCCAGTGGTCCACCGGCCCTCCCGGCCCCCGGAGGAAGCCGACAGCAAGGGGTCTTGTTTTTTTTTTCGCGGGAATGCGAAAAACAGGCCCGGTTGGCTTCAGGTTGCCCACCCTAAAGCCTGTTCTTCCCGGTGCCCACCATTGTTTTAAGGATTTTACACTCCCTAGGGCTCCAACTACCTCCTGAGAAGATGGTTGGGGTGGGTGCCATGGGGGTGTAACCACCGAACCTGAGGATATGGGCCAGGAGCCCTAGGGACTACACAACCAGGTCTGACACCACCATTTTTCAGGGAAGCTTCGTTGAAACGTCGTTCAACCCGTCCGCCCGAACCGAACCGACGGGTCGATTCCGCGTCGATGACCCGCGAACGAACCCAAGAGCGGCCCTGAGGTCGACTGAACGATGGCCAAAGAGCACAGGCACAGGCCCTGGTCTGTTTTTTTCAACCACAAGCCATCGCCTGGTGTTCCAAACCTGGTGTAACTACACAGGCACGGGGATCTAGAAGGATGATACTTGGCTTGCATGTCCAGGGGGGGAAGTTAGGTGACTGCGGGCTGATACCAGTTTTCAGGCAGCTTGTCTTAGCAGAATCTTGTGAGGTAAGCCCCCCATGCGGCTCCGAAAAAGGCATTGATGTTTCCACTTGGGCAGTTCTTCCTAGAGACCAAAACACACCAGTCCATTTACAACCGGTGCATCTGCACTTCAGAACTGGAGGCAGTAAGCTTTGATTGGGACTGTGCAAATCTCTCTTCCTCTCTCTCTCTTTTTCTCCGGACGGATTCGGCGTCCTCGGTGGAGATGCCTAAGGACTCCATGAAGGACGCTAACTTGCGCCCTTCCATGGCAGCCTCGTGAAACAGAACAGGACCAAAACCGATGGGAAAGACAGACATGGCATGGTAGGGATGTGATGTGTAGGGGATGGCGCCTTCGAGACGAGGCAGAATTTCGCAAGCTGAGAACGCGGATAGGACGGACTCTGTACTATGTCTTCATGAGGGGCCTGCCTGGAGCTTGCACAGATCCTAGGGGAAAAAAGATCGTATAGAGAACTTGGAGACATGGTGCAGATCGCCCAGGTTCTCCAGATCAGTTTTATCTACTATAGATTCGTTTTTCACCAGTGGGTGTGGTGCAGGCATTCCTCAGACACGTGGTACAGTTCGGCGCACCCATCTTTCGCTGGCCATTTCCAGATGGACTGGGGCAACCCTTCCACCAAACGACACCCATGGGTTTAAGGCAAAGCCATGCTTTTCCAGGTGTGAAACACCCTTTTCACATGGAAACATCCGTGGTCGTAGCAGCCCTTAACTCTACTAAGAAAGAGGCCTCTCTCCCAAACAGCTGCCCAGTAAAGTGAGGATTGGACCACTCAAAGGCTGTAATTAGGTATTTGCTGAATGGAACCAAAGTCTGGAAGGGGTTTTGGAGAGAGGCAGCCGTTTAGAGATCACATGTAGACATAATTACGAGTACTCAGGGATTAAATAAGTGCCATCAAGGAACGTCACCGTTCTTGTTAATCCCTTCTCTACTGCCTTTGTGTTGAATTTAAGGATGACAACACATCGCTGGAGTATCTTCTAGGAGAGAAGTCTACTCAACAAGAAAACTAGAACAAACCAAGCAAAAGGGATGGACCGATATGGAGCATACTGTTGAAAGAGCTAGTTTTTTGGCACCACTGTGGGGTATCTTCTCTGTGTTTCATTGCAAGGTAAAACTTCTTCCAACAGTAGAACACCTTCCTCATAGCAGCATGAGTCAAGGGTGCAGTGCAAAGTGTTTTTTCACAACATCAACCTATCATAACCTATCTATATCAAGCATTGTTTGTAGAAGGAAGGTGGAAACCAATCATGTTGAACTTCCCACATCGACCTCATCGGCACCGGACAATTCCGCCGCCGCGCGCAGCGAGCGCTCGGTTCTCACGGACCTTGAGGTCCAAAATGTTCACCTCGGCCGAGCCGAGCGGCCGGACCGTTGGCGCGGGCTCCTTCGAAACGCGAGCTCCCGGTCGAAACGCGTCACACTTGGAGCTCCAGTAAAGAGACCCCCTTGATTTCGAGCTCTTGTGAAGACTCAACCCTGCTGTGCAAATCCGCAGAGTCAGGGAACCGCCACGACCAGCTCACGGTTCCTCCCCGACCCCTCTCCGGACTCCATGCGCGCGCGATGCGATGGAACGGAGGAAGCTCCGAAGCTCTCCGAAAGCGCCGGAACCTGCACTTTCACTGACCCAAACACGACGAGCAGTCTGGGACTGCCCATGTCGGACATGCCGATATACATGGACCCCTCCCCATTCACCACCCCTGGCCTGATTGGTCAATATGGCCGTCCCATACACCTCGTGTCTGCAGAATTGTCGAGCCGGACTCGGTGTTCCCGACCGACTCCACTCCTTCGTCCATGTCACCGAGTCGGTTTGATCGGTATCGATCTCCTTGAAGACCTCGCGCAAGGACGCCACCTGTGGCAGGATTTCCATCGTGGAGGCCCCGTCGCCCACGGTGGAAGGGTCTGAATCCCGAACTACAACAATCCTTCTCTGGTACAGGCCAAGAGCCGAGGCCTGTAAGGCATCAACATAAACCATGCCATGCAGTGGTACCTCATGGTGATTTGCTACAAAGCTCAGTGTCAAACGCTTCCTTCCAGAGGATTCTGTTCACCTTCTTCGGCCACAAGGCGCTGGTGGTTCAAACGTTCGAACCCGACCGAACGGTCACGGCCGAACGGTCGGATGGGACGACCTACCTGGGGTGGAGTGGGTCCGATTCGATTGGTGGTGCATTTTGACCCATCCCAATATAGGTCCTGGATCTGGCATTCCGGGCTCACATGGGCGGTAAAGAAGTGGGTTCTCCAGATGTGTTGTATTGCAGCCAAGAGTTTTCCATACATCACACTAATTAAGATCAGTGGAAGCGACACACTTGCTAAATGTAAAGCATGGCTGCTTTCATCCTGGATTGTGTTGTGTTTCGGAGGACGTTTTCTCCAGTCTGTCTGTCGGCATCGCAAGATACAGGCGAAATTGAAGGAGCCAGGTGGACTTGAATTAACCTTCAGTTAAGGGTTATCCTTTTTCCACCGGTTGTTCCTTTGTGGGAAAACCAATAATAAGGATGTTAAAGGTCATCCACCGACCTCTTTGGGAGGAATTGAATGGGCCGGTGCTACCTGATGATGCACAAGACTGTCATGCTTCTGGTCAAACTTGTCCGCGCGGCTTTGGCTGAGGGTTATTGAAGTGGGTGATCAACTGACATCACATCTGAACAACATTTGCCCCAGCTGACGCTTTTCTTCCAGGCTTCGAAGTTGGATGAAGGCAATCAACCACCGAACCCATGACCCATGGCCTGTTTTTTCTGCTTGAGAAGCTGCTTCATGATGGCAATGTCGCGGTCAGCGTGCGCACTTTCCTTGATTCGTTGACGCAGCAAACATACTAAAGAGTGAACGTTGCTGCACAAGAAAAGTACTCCAAAAAACACGCCCCTATGCCCTATGATAACTTTGCCATGGCCTTGTTCAAGGTTTGACCGTAAACCTGAAACCCAGAAGCATCTTCATCGCACACACACACACACACTCCTACACACACAAGCCCTTTTCACAGTGCCAACATCCCCAACATCAATTCATGGACCCCTTGTTGCAGCTGGGGCGCAATGGCTGTGTTGCAGAAGACTCCCGTGACCTCAGCGCGGCAGTAGTAGTAGTAGTAGTAGTAGTAGCTACTAGTAGCTACTAGTAGTAGTAGTAGTAGTAGTGAGCAGCAGCAGCAGCAGCAGCAGACCTGTCATCCATGTAAATGGAACTCTTCAAAGTGGCCTCAGTGTGGGACTCAACAAACCGCTGCCCATCTTCAATTTTCTCTCGGGATCTTCCATTATCTTGTTTTGCAGCACAGTAACTAAGACTGTGCGAGAAGTGTTTCCTAACTACTTCGCACCTATCAAAGGCCCGCAACCGTCCATGATTCTATCACGTCCGATGTCATTCCAATGCGTCTCAGGGTCTTGGTCAGTTTGAGGCAAACGGCCTTTCCCATCGACAGAGGAGGTCTTATACCCTATGGTGAGGGATCGATGATGGTTCCCTGCAGTAGCAAGATAGTCTTGTACGTATTGACGCATGTGACATGTGTGCTGCACTTTGCAGTAATTTAGCAAGCTGCAGTGGAGCCGGTGCAAGGCATTCTGTTAGCACACAGGCCGGGTGTGTGCGCAAAGCCCCATGATCGACGATGAAGCCCAGCTTCTGTGCAAGGTGATACGGAGGAGGTGCACGATGACTGACAGCGTGTAATGGGGAGTCAGCAGCTTGTCGCGCGGCTGCACTAGCAGTGCCCGCAAAATGATCAGCAAGTTTGTTACATTCTCTTGGGAGATAAACTAGCCTGAAAATGAACGGGGCTCTCGCCAGCAGCAACTGGCATTCCTCCAGGATTTTCACGACTGCAAGTTTCTTGATACGACCACGACCTTGTAAATAATTCAGGAGGGGCAGAATGTCGCCCTGAAGAACTACGCCATCCTGTGCTACTCCTTGTCGGAGGCATTCATGGTAGAATTCAGTGGCTAATTGCACTGCATGCAGACACGCCAGTGCCTCTGCAATAACAGTATCTGGGCAATCAAGCAATGGTGTTGACTTCCATCGGACGAGAGTAGTAGAGTCTTGGGTAACTTGTAGAAGGCTGACCCCTGCTCCTCCTGCTCTAGTCTTCTTATGAGCAGAGCCGTCAAACTGAACTAGGCATCCCCTCCACTGGGCTGCTTCTCCTATGAGCAGCACCGCATTTTCGGGGACGTCAACCATAGCGCACAGCTTGAGGTGAGTAGCCCCGCAGTGGCAGGTATATGGGAGTAGGGTCGCCGTAGCCGACGGAAATGGTAACCTTGCATATTGCATGAGCAGCAAGCGCAACCTTGCATCTGCAGTAGCAAAGGCGGCTATCGTTTCATCTTTTTTAAAGGCCTTGGTGGTACAGAGACCCTTGTCTGGGAGTAGGGCGGATTCCAGCTGTGTTTGAGGGAATCGTTGGATACGTATGAACGAGGTAGAAGTACAATGGAGATCGGCCTGAGCCGGCGGTGCTCGAAACCAGGCAAGCTGGGTGGCTGGGAGCGATTGGTACGTACGCTGCCACAAGTCCAAGGCGTGTGCAGGGATATAGGTTTCACCTTGACACATGTAATGTTCGGACGAAGCCCCCCATATTCGGTAACTATCCTGCGGAGATGGAACAATAAGTACGTCAGCGCAATCCCAATATGTTTGGTCGGTGTCTGTCGCCAGTTGATAGGAGGCAGGTTAGCTTTGTGTAAGGCAGCCCATGCGATGTGGACTACAGGGCAATATGAGAGCCAGTGGTCAATCGTATTAGCCCCTCCCTGGCATATGACACAAGGCACGACAGCTGCATCACTGAGGGGACCATCAGTCGTTTGAACCCTGGTCTTGATTGACGTGGGAGGGGCAAGTCCCGCTGTACACGACGGAGCGTGGTGACGCAGAAAGGATAGCGCTTCCGGTGGGAGTTCAACAAATGCGCCTGGATCCTGACCAATGCAACTAACACAAAGGGCTCCTTTCTGGGGGCCAAATGGGTACGTTCTGGCGTTTTGTGTACACCAGGCACACGGCGAGCCACGACTGACTCGTCCACGCAGGGGTAGCCAGAGATCGGGGTCTTCCCCAAGTGCCCATCGCAGCACAGCAAACCGCGGGACAGCACCTATTTGAGAGATGGGAGTCTGAGACAGCCATTTGAGAAAGTCAAAGGAAGGCCCAAAGGGCCAACCATTACGAGCGATTCTATTTGAGAGATGGGAGACTGCGCTGTCGATTTCCTTGGCAATGGCAAATTGTTTAAAACATTCTTGAAAACGCCGCGCCGCTTGAAAGGGGTCCTGATCCGAACAAGTCGGCGGATCTCATCAGGGGCAAGCTGCTGCTGCCAGTATTTCCAAAGGTATACTTGTTTGGTATACGATTCTGCTATGCCCTCCAAGACAGAAGGGAGCGAGCAGTGGCCTTGTCGGAGATAGCAGCCGAACAAGGAGACGGCATGCATGATGGCAGGATCAAGCAAGGGGCCCAGTCGTAGCCATCGGCACAGACCAACCAGCTTTAGTTGTGGGAACCAATGCCTCTTGAGGAGGAATTCCGACAGAGCCTTGTATAAAGGCTGCAAGAGTGGTTTGGAGAAGTACCGATGAGTTTGTACGTAATAAAACAGGCTGAGCGAGAAAGCGTTGAAGTAAACGATCTTGGCATGAATACTGAGATTGCCTTTGTAGTTTCCCGCAAGTAGCCGCGTACGGAACTTGAGGAGCTGCTTGACTAACAGCGAGGGCATGGTGAGGCGCAGAGGGGCGTATTCCATTTGTTCAGCGTGTAGCTGACAAGCCCAGCCCGTATGAATGGTAAGTCCCAAATTAACAGTGCTGGGAACAATGCATTGAGCACCCAAGCCAGCACGGTCAACGTGATACAGTTGCGCTGCAGAGAATGCAGCACTAGTTAATAGCTGGGTTTTCGATCTGCAGTCACAGGGACTAGCTGCAAGTTGTAGTAGTAGCGGGTGTCCATTCAGCACCCAGTCATGTCTGTGGGCAGCATGGAACATAACACAGTGCTCTCCATGGCGTAACACAAAAAAGTGTGCGTAGTGAGGAATGTGCCGGACAGCAGCGGAGATGGTAGCTTCTCCCTGCGGATGCCACGGAATGAAAGCATCAGCATAGTCAGACAGACGTAGTAGCTGTTGCTCGGGTAGGGGGACTCTGGACAGCCCAACTTGCCAGCAGGTGTGCGCATCCATTATTACTCCCGCAGCCGACCACGTGTTGATCAAACTGAAGACCTCCTTGATCCATTCTGGATCTTGCTGTGTTCCAACAATGGTGGTGTCGTCAACGTATCCCGCTACAAGGAGGACACGCGGCACCTGGTTTAGTGCAACGAAAATCGGATCCATTGCTAGGCAGAAAAAGAAGACTGAGGTGGAGCGTCCCATGTCTACGCCAGAGAAAACTTTACGTGGAGGTAACAGTCTTCCTTGCACTTTGTGACGGATTCTTCTCCCAAATAGAAGGTACTTAGCCAGTTGCAGAACCCAGGAGGAACACTGTCGTATATGTAAGATATGCAGGATCCAATAGGCATTGACACGTTCAAAGGCTTTGGAGAGGTCTGCAAATAATGCAGACGCCGGAGTCTCTCCTTCAAGCACTCTTTGTACCTCGAGAACAGCCCTTTGTGGTTCTCTGAAGATGTTGAGCATAGTTTGCGCAGGATGGAAGGAGCTCCTAGTGGTGCGAAACAAAATAGCAGCAGCAGTACCGTCTTGTAGCCGATCAAGTGTATCTGGCATGCCTAATGGCCGGAAGTAGTCTGCCGTGGGTCCTTGTTTCGCTTTTGGTATCCAGACACCAACTTGGGTTGGCGCCGGGAGCTCACATGACATCATGCGGTCAAAATCATCTTGCAAAACAGTGGCTGATTGCTCAGGAAACATACGCCAAAAGGCGTATGGGAGTCCGTCAGGTCCGGGGGCGGAGTCTTTGGTAAGTAGGAGATGTTCGATGTAATCATCAGCAACTGGCTACGTCGCCAGTGTTGGGGCCCAGGCTGGATCATAGCGGATTGGTGGCTGAAACCAAAAGTCCCGCGTGGCAAGCATGGCTTCATCGTACTCTTGCGCAGTTCTGCACTCTTTGCCATTCTTCTGTAGAAGAGGACCGTGGTAAAAGGTGCCCCGTGGGCAGATGGTTTTAAGACGATCCCAAAATGTTCTCTGCCGTCTTGCGCGACGTGCAGGGTCAGTGTGCTCCTGGCCAAGAGGGATCTGAGTGAGTGTAGTTGCTGCAATTTCGGCTGTTTGTAATGCCGTGGCAATGACGTCTGCCGGCACTAGAGATTGGTCATACTGTTTGGGCCATGACTGCAGGAGTTCAATCAGCCCACTTTGCTCATATAGGCATTGCAACGTCTCTTTATGGATGTGCAGAACCAATTGCCCTTTGCCTAGCCGTTTGTAGAGTTTTGTGAGGGGGGAAATATGTTTGAAGGCCTTGGAGGAGTTTCTCCACCAGCTCCAAACCAATGCACGGATGTGCGTGGAGAACGGAACCGCAGCTGCACAACTCTCTCTGGCTAGGGAGATAATTCGTCGAAGGAGGCGCAAAGCCTGCTGTCTCTTAGTTTCAACTTCACCAACTGCGAAAGCTGTGGGATCCAAAAAGACTTTGGTTGGGATAGTACAATGTTTTTCAGACTGCGGATGCGGGGTCAAACGAGGCTTCATAGTCAAACAGGCAGTAACGGTTTTGTGATGGCAAGTGCTGACCCGATAGCGACCTGAAATCCGGACGTGGAGTTGAGTTGTGTCTAAGAAGAAACTTGGCACCAGAAACCGGTCCAACGGCGACTCCTGCTGTTCACCAAATCGGAATGTGGGGAAGGTGGGGTCAATATCTGTGACTCCTAATTGCCCCAGAAAGTCTTCCCATAGTTGCGGGTGATGCTGATCACAGCGATTAAAATCCCCACCAATAAAAACAGGGTGTGTTTCGAGGGTAAGCAGAGCCTTGAAAACTTGACCGACAAGAGTCTTTGGACTTTTGGGAGGCAAATAGACTGATACAAGCCACACAGGGCAAGCTTGGAATGCTACGCAGGCTGCAACAG